GTAGCACCAGCAGATATTAACTGTTTAGCTAAATTAATAAAATCCAGCACCAGTTACACTTTCAAAGGAACGTCCATTGACTGCACAATACTCAACACATGCTTCTGTAATACGTTTTTTAATTAATGGACATTCTGTAGATGGTGAGGATTGTTGACAATATGATGAGATCGTTCGCTGACGATTTGGAGTTTCTGAAAGTGGTTTCTTTTTAATACAGTTGTGGTGATTCATCACTCTAGTTCCATTTCCACTTGTCCATTTTAATACCGTTTTGCATTGTAAACATATAATAAAGTCTAGAGGAATGTTTTCATGATATACTTGAGTATAATTTGACCAGCATTGACTTCTCACACCTGCTGATTTTGCAAATGAAACTAAATGGATTATTTGATGTTACCAGAACTTGAAGATCAGCTTTTAATAAAGTTGAACTTGACGAATTGGTTGAAGACATTGACAGAAATTAATACAAAAGATGATGTACCAGTGAATAAGTTTTTATTATATAAAATAAATAAAACATAAAGCTTGATTATAAGATTAGCTAAAAGTAGCTTCAATCATAATTTTGTTCTTAATTTTATGTCACATAACAAGTTGCGTAATGTATGATGTCGCCCAAAGCCGATCACTAATGATGATACTTTTCCCATACACCGAAAGAACAAAATTCGGGAACGGGAACACGGGAATTTTCGGGAACGGGAACAGAAATATTTTTCCCGGGAACGGGAGCACGGGAACGGGAACAGAAAACTTTTTTACGGGAACGGGAAATGGGAATGGAGAAAATTTGTTCCCGCAGGACTCTACATCCTGAACACATTATTAAGAATCTAGCTACAACCTTACTCCATATAGGCTATTTACTCATAAAAAGAACAGTCTATTGCTAATTTATTGTTAAGAGTTACAAAGCGGTTTTCTAGAGATCTCCTAGAAAACCGGCCATTGAGAAATACTTTCAACTTTGTTTTAGTTACAAAAATATAGCTTAAACTCGTGGCCATCGAATCCCAAAAAACAAAAGTTTCTATCGCTGTTCGTTCTTGAGTTACTCAATATAGTAGTGTTTCATTTGGACGAAAGGAGAATGAATAATGAAACTTTCACTTTCATTCATGTCATACATCTGTTTTTTTCCGGTCTCTCTATGCGTTAATCGTTTTAAAAAAGCCGTGAAAGTGTGAAACGGACATGTAAAAAAGATGCCACAAACTCAAGTAGCCTGTTATCGAATATAGTGTCTGTCTTTGTTATTACCTTTTTCTGCTAAAATCACGACTCATCCTATCACATACTCCGCGAAATGTATCGACGCTTTTTTGTATGTATGTACAACAGTCACCCACCCACATGAACATATGTATGTATGATTTCAGTGGACTAGATAGCGGTGTATATTTGGAGGGCATTTGAATGTAATTATGTAACGAGATCAATCGACCTTTCGGTTCGAAAATTGTTGGAAAACAGCTTTCATATGAGGTAACTGTTCATTATATGTTAAGTTTTGCAACAGACTAATAATTAGGAAATTTTGAAAAAATGCTTCGTTACGATGAACCTTTGCACTATTCATTCTGTACAGAAAAGAAATCTCACTGTTTTCCATATTATGCGCTAGGAAACGTTACTACATTGGGATTCTATTTCTTTTTATACTGAAGAAGTCTGATCTTGATTATGAGACAAAACGGCTGTTTCTGAAAAGAAAATTCATTTAGTTTTAGGAATCGAGCACTTAGCAGAGTGTTAAAATCGTAACTCTAAAACTGTGGCTAACGTACATCCATAAATTCGTGTGGGTGTGTGACGGACGTACATACATACGTTCATGTGGGTGGGTGACTGTTGTACATACATGAAAAATGCGTCGATACATTTCGCGGTGGGTGACGGTTGTATTAAAAAGTTTTATAAAGCCGGCTTTTTACCCTTGTACAATGGCATTTTGAAGCAACCCAGAAAAACATCGATAACATTTCAGTGCCGTTTGCAGTAGTGATTTCCGACTAAATCACCATGTAAAATAAATATTACCTGTCCTAGGGACTTTCATCAGCAAGTAGTCTGTAGACGGAAAACCGAAGGTCGGTCGATATTTCATCAGAAAAGCATGATACTACCTTCACTTCAAATCTTCGCCATACTGACTTCTATTTATGGCTGAGCATCTTAAAGCTCGATAATTATCTGAAAAACCCGTTCCTCTTTGTATTTTTTAGTGGTAGTTTCGACAGCGACTTTTTAAATCCAGTTGTAATACAACATAATAAAGCATTCCACTCATATTTTTATTAGGTGTATGCGATAACGTTGTAACTTGAGCCGAAGGTGGCGGAACGTTCAAAAACAGAGTAAGACTCACGGTAAGACAGCCGCTACTTTAGAAAATGATCATTTTGGATGGTTTTGAGAAATGATTTTCTCCATCGAAACGAAGTTAATTCTACTATTATCGCTGTCCTATGTGCGAGTTCCACCGAGAGTACTTCTAACAGATTCCCTTCTGATGAATTTTCATATGCCGGTGAGTGGCTTTTGAGTAACTCAAGAACGAACAGCAATAGAAACTTTTGTTTTTTGGGACTCGATGGCCACGATTTTAAGCTATATTTTTGTAACTAAAACAAAGTTGAAAGTATTTCTCAATGGCCGGTTTTCTAGGAGATCTCTAGAAAACCGTTTTGTAACTCTTAACAATAAATTAGCAATAGATTATCCTTTTTATGAGTAAATAGCCTAAAGTGTCCTCTCCAAAATGCAAGACTTTGATTTTGAGTGATTTGGACGTGGTATCTGATTTCCATTGAGCACCAGGACTGACGCTCAGTGGCTTGCAGTAACCTCCACAGAGGAAGACTAACACAAAGTAAAATAACATAAACGCTGTCATCAGATTCAGCATGGTCGACTATGTACTTCTCTTCTTCTGCCAAGGTTATTGGAAGCCACTGCGTGTCGGTTCTGGTGCTCAATGGAAATCAAACACCACGTCCAAATCACTCAAAATCAAAGTCATTTTGAAGAGGACACTTTAGGCTATAGTTTAAAGTCTTAGCTATCTAATGGCAAAAAACAGAAGTTTCTATCGCTGTTCGTTCTTGAGTTACTCAAAAGCCACTCACCGGCATATGAAAAACCATCAAAAGGGAACCTGTTAGAATTACTCTCGGTGGAACTCGCACACAGGATTGCGTTAATAGCCGAATTAACTTGTTGTTGTATTACCATTGCATTCCTTGTGAAAAATTGCATATCAAACTAGTTTTTATTGAAATTTTAATATACTATGGTAGAAATATATTGATTGAGCCTCTAGTGCTCGGTGCAAAGCATGTTTTGAGCTCGCGGTTGCGTGGTTTTGTAGCTCACACTGTCTACTATTTATGAAGAAATCGCCGAGGTTAAGTAATCTGTTGTTACTGAATTACAAGAGTTTAAAGTTAGCAAATTTTCAAGACGGCGGAATCTACGTTTTTGGGGACTTTTCGTAAAATATCAATATCTTAGCAACGATACAACTTTTTGATTTGCGCCTTTTACCAAAATTCATTAAAATATTTTATCTACGAGAGGCCCCCTACTTTGGAAAAGTATTAAGAACATCGATTGAAGAACGTCGGTCATGGCTTACGTGCAATGGCTCTTAAGCCAATTTTCGCGTGGCTTTTATCCGGTATAGATCATATAATGGCATGTTTGGAAAGGATTGATTATTCCAAACTCTGCTCCCGATCCGATAGAGCCCGTTTCTCCGACAATTTCATGGATATGATCGCCAGCCGCGTCAATCGAAATGTGTGTCGTGTCGGTAGCGATTGTATGCACATGCAATCCTCTATCGTGTATACCTCCTCCGTTGACTGTACCTCGGCCTCCACCATGTTCTGGGGCTGCAGCGCCCGTACTACCGCCGTGATTGTGTCCAGGATCGCTGTAGGTGTGCGAGTGTGTACCACTTCCAGAAATCACCAACTTTCCTTGATCATGGGTGTGTGCAGGCAATTCAGCAACTGTCAACTGGTGAGTTGCGTTTCCACCCGCCATTCCTAGCTTAGTTGCCTCACCGACACGAATTTGTAATTCATCAACGCCAATTGGAAATCTACCACGAAAATCTGGCAGATTGAACGTCGTCGACCCGTCGCCAGCTCCATAGGTGATCCCAATAACGGAAAATAGCCTCTGATATTCAGTGCGAGATAGCACAGCCCCATTGCATAACAACCACAATTCTGGTATCGATGCAACATCGCCTGTATACAATTTTATTTCACCGGTGAACGTCGTTAGACGAGAATCTGTTGAAACAGTTGGAATTATTGTGCTCACAGTTCGAAAAATTGCACCGTTGGCTTTGTCAGCAATCATTTGTTTTGCAATAATGGCTGTTTGCAAATAATCAGTTATGTCAGTCATTTTGTAAACACTAAACGATTTTGGAATCAATTTTTCACCTAACCATTGAATGTCAATTTGTTGTTGGGATATTGCATGTTGAATTTCGGTGGCAGAAAATATTGACTGTGTCGTTGTTGACAGCTGATTTTCTGATGAACTTGACGATGAACCAGATCCGCCAAGTGCACCAATACCCAAAATATTCAGACCTGCGCTTTCACTACTTCCTGACGATTGTACATACTGTTTATCATAATCAAAATAATTGTTAGAATAATTGTGTCGTTTTGTTTCGGTTTCATTGTAAATGAACATTTTATTTATTACACTCGTCAGTCGATTGGGATTCAAATCCATTGATGACCAAACTTGATCATAAAATTTAATATCAAGTTTCGTTTCGTTCGAATAGACCATGCCTAAACAAATTCATCTTATAACATCAAATCATTATAGGTAGCAAACAATCTGGGTATTGCTAAAAGACGCGAACACCCACGAACAGCTACGAACAGCCACGAACACCCAC